GAGGTCCCAGAGGTCTGGAAATAATTACCTAATAATAGCTGTACTTTGGTGCTGCAAAGATATTGTACAAGGCCAAGATAACACAGAGCGGTATAACAGTGCTTGAGTGCAGGCATTACTGTTAATTTTTAAACATGGTCCACATAGTTTAAATTCTTGCATGATGCTTTGGTCAAAAAGTGAGATGTAAGATATAAGTATGTAAATATTTAATATATGACACCTGTGTTAAAAGTTTTAAACGACCAACAGTAATATCCAGAAATGGAACAACACAACCAGCACAGTTTCAGCATATTAAGCATAAGATTAAATTCTTGTGCATATTGTGCATGAATTTAATGAACTTAGTTACAGTTTCCTGATAGCCTTTCTGTAAATTCACTTATTATCCTCAGGCCTAAACTAGAATGTGGTAAAACGTGTGGCTTTGAAAAGTGTGTTTATAGGTTGTGTTTAACATTTGTGACCCTGGACCACAAAACCAGTCTTAAAGGGGTCATATGATGCTGCTAAAAAGAACATTATTTTGTGTATTTGGTGTAATGAAATGTGTTTATGCGGTTTAAAGTTAAAAAAACACATTATTTTCCACATACTGTATCTCGGCCAAATATTGTCCTTTCCTAACAAACCATACATCAACGGAAAACTTATTTAATCAGCTTTCAGATTATATATAAATCTCAATTTCTAAAAAATTGACACTTAAGACTGGTTTTGTGGTCCAGGGTCACATTTAGCCTATTGAGAAAAAAAGTGTCTACATCTACAGCCTTTGTACAGTATACTGATATGTTTATGGCTGGTCTGCTCTCTTAATTTAAAAGGATAGTTCACCTAAAAATGAAAATTCTGTATCATTTACATATTCAAATTTTGTTATTTCAAACCCAAATGCTATTTTTCATGACCATGTGTATTTTTTTTTTTTCTCCACTAATGCAGATAATAATGGAAATGACTGTCATGGTTTTACTGCTACTGTTATCCGAATTTTTGCCCTCCAGACATCTTAAAATAAAATCAACATTTTTCCAGGGGAACATATGCCCCCGAACTCCCCAAGCCAAGCTGTGTTTTTGGACCTCGATATTTCTGAAACCCTGCGTATGGCCTTGACCGTGTCATACTCAAACTCAACTGGTCATTCTGAGAATCCCGGCTCAAATGCAGTATTTGTTGTGTTGTGAGTTTGCTGTGATGAGATCCACACAAGCAGACCCCATTGCAGCTAGCCTTTTTCTGAGCCTAACACAGTTGATAAATCTGGTTTACCATGCTAACCCCATTTGATATATTGCTAAAGATTAGGGTGTTTAGGATTAGCTTGCAAGTACAAAATCCTCTTAATGAGTATTTATTATTGGTAGCCTAGCAACAGACTATCAGCAGTCTGCCCTGAAGCGTTCTACAGGTTTGTCACCAGATATGAACAGGATGGTGTCCTCCTGCTTCTTCAGTTGTGAGCACAGTGCTGGTGCCTGTCATGGTCAGGTGAACATGGCCACCTGCTTCTCAAATATCCTCAGCTCACACACTTGTATATGTATTGCAGAAGTCAGATGATGACTATGTATACAAGAAAATCGATGAACCCAAAGCCGAACCAGAGGAGGTAGCAGAAGAAGAAGAAGAGGAGGAGGAAGAGGAGGCGGAGAAAGGGAAAGATGAAGCTAAAGCAGAGGAAGATACTGAACCTACTGGTTTGTAAAATTATTTATCCTTGTTTGCTATTTAAGTACTTTTTTTTTTCAGTGTAGTTGTTATACATAATTTCCTTCTTTTGTGACTCCCTTTTCAGGTAATGAGAATGGGGAGGGGATGGACAAGGACATTGGAAAAGATGGAGGAGATACAGAGGATGAGGACGAGGCCAGTAAGCCAAATGACAGTCCCTCAGAGGATGAAGTAAGCAAGTTCACATTGACTTTTATTCTTCCTTAGCCAGTAGGGGAGTGACAGTATAGTTTATATTGCTATACGTTGATGTTGCAGACACAGAATGAGCTGCTGGAAAAGTGCACAATCCAAGTTGTCTTAAACATGAGACGTGTTTTATATTAAGTGCTTCAAACTAAATGATAAACCAACACATCTTGCCCTACTGCCAGATATGTGTGGTGTTTAATGTGTTTGAGATTTGTTTTCCTTAGTGCAGAACATACATCTTATGTTTTTATACCTGTAAATTCTACAAATTTGGACAAGTACTTGCATTTTGCATAAAGGATTATCCTGACCGCAAGTGAGTCTGCATTTAACTTTACAGGCTTCAATGAGCGAGTGCTGGCGCACACTTGTGTTAAATAGATGGAGAAGATTAGAATGCGAACACAATAATTCTAACTAAAATATTTTCACATATTTTGCATCCAAAAGTGTAAGCACTTCAATTCTCTTCCCCCAAATAACTACAGCACCATAAACTGCAGTGTTGCACCAATATTGACAGACCTTTTAAATACCGTATTGACCCGAATATAAGACGATGTTTTTTTTCTTGGAAATACATCTCAGACATAGTTAGCAAACCACTGTTTAATAAAAAACATGGTTTGTTTTTAAAGTAATTGTATTTATTTCTAATTTAAAAAGAAATGTTTTATTTTACCAGAATCCATTTTTGCCGTTTCAATTTTTCTCTTTGCACTTAAATATTCACACACACTCATCTTTGATTTATTCATCCAAACTATACTAAATTCTGTGACATTCAATATTATACTGTAAATTCCATTTAAATTCCAACTGACGGATTCCACAATTCCGTCAGTTTTTCACATCATGGAAATCACAGAGAAGAGACCGTTCGAACAACATGTAAAAGGATCAATCATAGTTTTTTTAGGTTTTTAGGTGACATTTAGAAATGTGTAAATCTGAAATCATTGATAATGCAGTTAGAAATAACCTGCTAGAAGTATTATGAATGGTCACAGTGTTTGATTCTATTTTGAAGAAACATCATGTGATTGTGCCATGTTTTTGCTAGACTAAGATTTCAGTTTGTATTGGTTATCTAGATCCACTGATTGTTGTTAGACTGACAATTTGGGGTCTTTACAGATGAAGGACGCCGATGAAGGAATTCAGAGCACAGGAGAAGAATCCAAAGCTGTGAGAAAGAGAAGAATACGGAAGGACTGAAAATCCACATTTTCCCCACATTTCTTCCTCCCTTCTCTCATTCCTTTGCCTCTTTTTGCTGCATGCTTTCGGCATTATGCCATTTAGCATGCAAAAAACGGCAAACCTAACCGCTCTCCTGAAGAGGTCATCCTTCATCCGACTGTACCTCGCCAACCCTCTTTCAGTCTTCCGCTTAGTTCTTATCAGTTACCGTTGGGATTTAGATACAAAAGTCAGACCTGCTGAGTTTTAACTCCAAGTTTTTCCTAATTTTTTTTCTTTTTAGATTAGAATTCAAGTAGTACTGGGCCAGTGTTTCCCTACTAGTAAGTCTGAATACTGTGAAGGGAAATGTACAATGAATATTTTATAGAAAGTTGATTTAGTTTAATCACTTTCTCACTTAATCACATTTCAGTTTAAGTTATTAAAAAGGGTTCAGTTCTTTGTGAGTTTTTAAGTTATGAGCTTTTTAACATGATCAAATTGCTCTGATCGTATTTATTGTTTGAAAAATGATTCAGTCGAGTTTAGGAATAGGACTTTTTAATCTTGCATTCTACTGTCATAACCACTGTTAGCAGGCTCTGGAGAAGAGCTCCGTCAAACCAGGAGCTGTCTTCACCAAACATCTAGGTCAGTGAAGTGCTAGGAATGCAAATCAGTATGCTTTTTTTGGCATCGAAGAAAGTTGTTACACAGTCAGAGCTGATCTCAGCTCAGCATCATCACTGACACTCTCTAACAGCAGACCCAGACACAAGCACACTGAAAACAGACTGACCACCATGTATGAAACCATTGAGCTTTGGAAGCAGACAGGTTGTTTTTCGAGTGATGAACAGTTTTGTTTTTCTGCTTTTTTTAGGTTGTATGTTCAACCTTACAAGGACAGCCTTTTGTTTACATGTTTGCAAACTGTTCATTGCTCTTGGAAATAAATATTTACTATAACATCCTGTGTACCGTTGACATGACTTCACTAGGAACAACGCTTACTCGTTTGTGCAAAGTATTTTATTAAAGGCATAATTGTAACAAACTAAAATGTACACTTTTAGAACAGGCAGTACTTTACATTGGGTGCTTGCAGACCTAAATTACATGACTGAAATTTTGTACAAAAATAATATTAAACAGATTGAGTATGTAGTGTTGTTGCAGATGCTTCAGTGTCATGTAAATAATTCATAGTAAGTGAAATTTCACATCAGCAAACTCTGAGCAAAGAATCCGTCCTCGTAAATGCCGCTCAAGCAGACACTTTGGGAGCAATCAGATCAATATCACTCCTCAGACTCAACCTCACTTCAGTCTTTGAAAGCAGTAAAAGCTCAAATCCATTTATTTCATCCATTTTAAGTCCCTCAATCTAAAGGACACGACCATGAAGAGCAAACTCTCCAACACAATGCTGCAGTTTACACTTGTGAGCCGGTTTCAATCTATTGATCCTGCTCAAAAGACCTCGGGTTTGTGCACTAGTCAGACCTTTTAAGATAAATCCAAGTATGAAATGGAGTAAATGTCATTCGGTGAGTCAGATGCCTCTTATAATGTAACATACTGAGGAGGTACTTCGCTTAAACCAATGGGTCAAGAAATTACTGTAATTGCATACTTTCTGCACCAGCTGAGTAACTGTCATTGCGATAATTGCCAATAGAAAAATCACATGCCAAAAGAGTGAGGACTAATTTAGGTTATCCATCCCTAGTCTTTTACATTATGCACTTTAGTTATGGGTTATGTCATGTCATGCATTTTCAAGAGAACATTTCTGTGTTCAAGCTGTGCTTGCTTTACATTGTAAATGTTAGTTGTGGAAAGCCAAAAAAGCTGAAATTCAGCATAATTGTATTTTTAGAAGAACTCTTCAAAACCAGACTTTGGCTGTCTAGTATTTAAAAAGGTTGTGAAGCCAATGAGACGGTCTTGAGATTGGTTACGTACCTGCTAAATGAATTATACAGGAGTGGTATTACACCAGCTCTGTACTTATCCGATCACAAACTGCATCATGCATCCTTTTATATCTTGTAACACAGTTAGCTGACACGGAGAGGCAGCAGCTCAGTCCATGGTATTACCCAAACCATGCTGAGAGATGCATCAGTAAATTGTACAACAAAATAAATACAAAACAGCGGCTTATATGTAGGAGTCTGAATGCTGGAAAGAGGAGATGATGGAGTATGTAGACGTGATCCACTCGTTATTTCCGTTTGCTTTTGGCGTCAGTGGTCTGAAACACGCTGGAGGCGGACATTAGGTTCTCGATGTACTGCCCGAGAACCTGGTTCTCCGATTTGAGCTTAAGGTTCTCCTCTTTCACCGCGTCCACACGCGCAGAGAGATCTAATGGAAACAGAAAAAACACAGAGTGCATCACTTAGCTTTTTCCGGCAGCCATTTAGAGTGCCTGAGTGGATCAGAGGAGAATGGTTAGCGGAGAAACAGAAACATGAAGGGTATACATGGACTTACAAAACAGCAACAGTTAACCACTAGAGCAAGGTGCAGGGGAAAAAATTAGACCTTCAAGTGTGTGCTGAAGCTCCAACACTTGGTTTATGAGTCTTGTCTTTTCCTCTTGCTCAACTTGATTCTCCATATCTCCTGAAAAGACGCACACACAAATCTGAAATTGCTCCAAAGCTATTTAAACTGAAGAAACAAGCATTTTAACAACACAATATAAAATATTATACCAAATTGTGGGTGATATTTACCATCAATCTCACAATTCATGGTGCTGTACTGGTCTTCCAGTCTGAAGCGCAGGACTGTCAGTTCTCCGTCAGCTGTGAGAGATATTATCAATGTGGTATAAAATATGCTTTTAATACAAACATATAATGATGTTATTGGCCATGTACAAAAGTAATTCCTTGGTATTCGTTGGAGTACAACACAAATACAGTGCAAACTAAGCCGTTTCAAGATTCCAGCGCATCAAGATATAGTTAGCTATTGGCTAACACAACAAACCATCGCCTGATATGAATAAATATAGTTCACAGAGAACTGAGATCACTGTCGTTTACATTTCACGCTTAAAACGTAATTATATTGCTATTAGTACTCGAGACATTACATTACAACTTTGGTTTTATGAAGTTTTAATTCATGCCACGTCCAACTCATCAGTCTCCATTGGTTATCATGCATTACAGGCCGCTGCAGCCTGGCTGCTAAAATACTTGTTAGAAACAGCTTTAAATGACCCCGATAATAAAATTCAATTTACATAATCAGCAACAAATGAACTTGGTAAATAGGCAATTATGAAATCAATACACGCAGAGACGAAATAAACATCAAGTTTAGTGGAGAACTTAAGTAACTTAAACACATCAGCACACTGATAAATTCACACAGCCCTACCTGATATAAGACTTAATCTCTCCGGGTTATTAAAGATGTTCAAAAATTATCAAGCCTCCAAAGCTGATGTCAAGGTAATGATACAGACCATCAGTTACCTCATCGCTTCGGTCTCTTTCACATACACTCACTACCAAACAGCACCGACAGAGGTAGACAAAGCTCTCTAAAAATATGAGGCTGTGCACAAAGCAATACAGCATGCTGCTTTCAGCACACGGCCTGGCCTTCTATTTTTTAAAGAATAGTATGTAAAACAGAATGCATTTGCATTATGCAACATAATAAACATTTCTCCTCATTAGAATCATTTTTAATCATTCATATCGTAGTATGCTACTTTGCTGTCATATGGCCTCATTAACAAATTTAAAAATAAAATAAATGTAGCCTAATAATAATTATAAATACTTTGGTCAAATCTGTCACCTAAATCAAAATTCCAGTATCATGATATATTCCAGTTATAACATTTCCTTCCTGTTCTACAAAAGAAATAAATTCATACAGGTTTGGAAACAGCAGACGGGTGAATAAATGATGACCAATTTTTCATTTTTAGGTGAATTATGCCTTTAAAAATGACAGATCTGAGTAGAGCTGAGTTTTCTGAAATATGCAGCTTTTGTTCTACCTGCTGCTCTGGCAGTAGCTACATTCACACATGCTTACAGGTGCATCTCAATAAATTAGAATGTCGTGGAAAAGTTCATTTATTTCAGTAATTCAACTCAAATTGTGAAACTCGTGTATTAAATAAATTCGATGCACACAGACTGAAGTAGTTTAAGTCTTTGGTTCTTTTAATTGTGATGATTTTGGCTCACATTTAACAAAAACCCACCAACTCACTATCTCAACAAATTAGAATACTCCATAAGACCAATAAAAAAAA